GACACTCTAGTCAACTGAGCTACCAGGCCAGGGCCTTCGTTGAATGCGCATTTTTAATCAGTTGTACCCAATGCACCTGGGGCTAAATTGAGAAAAAGAAATTATTGCATCAAAGTGTATGTAAATTTTTGTTAGCTATTATCAAATTGCCTTCCCAAAGCATTGCACCAACTTTCACATCCACTTTCAGTCAAGGAGACAATTTTTCCTACTTCTTCCCCAGCCATGGTGTTGTCTAATGGCTGTGCTATTAAATGCTAATCTGATCTGTGAAATATTTGTATTTGTTGTCTAATTTGTATTTGTAATCTAATTCTGACTAAGGTTGGGCATCTTTTCTGCTGCCTACTAACCATTTTTTGTCCCTTTGAGTGAAAGATCTGTTTATGTCCTTGCCTGCTTATATTTCAGTTGCCAACTTTTTCTTACAGATTTGCAAGAGCTCATTAGATATTACAGGAGTTGATCTTTCATTGTTACACGTGTGAAAAATCTTTTTTCCAGCTTACCACCTTCCCTTTCCCTTCCTTTGGTTATGCTTGTTTATGCACATGTTTTGATTGTCATTCTTCTAAAATTCATCAATCCTTTATAGGTTCTGGATTTCGGTAGACATTCTCAATTTCAAGATATTTAAATTTTCACTCATCTCTTTTCTTCTATGACAAGCTTCCTTTACATTTAAATCTTTTCTCCTTCTGGATTTTCTTCTGGTATAAGGAGTATGTTAATTTTGTTCTAAATGTCTAGCCACTTACTCAACATCATCTTTTGAATTATGTACATTTTTCTCAGTGATCTGAAAACCCATCGATATTTCACACTAGAGATCTTTTCTTAATCGTACATGAATCCTTAACCTATTTCACTGGTCCTTTAAATCATTTTCCAGTTCCAAAGTGTGTTTATTACTGTAGCATTCAGTTTAAACCTTGTCAGGTTTTATTTCACTCATTACTATATTTTTCATGTACTATAACTTTAATTTCTAGTCTTGATTATTTGTTATTCCTTATGAATATAAAATTATTTTGTCAAGTTTCAAAAAAATAATTGGGGGGAGGGTTCTTTATCATATCTTTCTGGACAAAAATAAGGTATTTCTTTTTATTTATGTCTTCTTTATGTCCCTTGGGAAAGCTGAAAAGTTTCCATCTTGTAGGTCCTACACCTTTCTTCTCTGCTTCATTAGGAAGTAGTCTACTGTAAACTATTTTCTTATATTTCTTTCACAATAGCCCCTAACTAATAAGTCTGTAAATTACTGAGTATTTTTTATTATTAGATACTCAATCACATTAATAACTTCATGTCATTTGCTATATTTTTAAATTGGTTCTCTTGGAATTCCCATATAGAAAAATTTATGACCTGTGATAGTCATAATTTTAAATATCTCCCGATATTCATATTTGGTTATACTTCCAGAAAATATTAAGTAATATAATAGTGGGATCTCTTTCTTGATTTTAATAAAAATATCTACCATTTCACACTAAGCACAATGGCAGATTTCTGTATTGTCACCGGTGGATGGGGTACCTCTCTCCCCACGGAGTGCTTGGGGAGGGCCCTTCCGATATCTTGAGAAAAAGGATTTTCTGAGACCTGCACGGCAGGATGAGGGATTTTTATTTGTGTGGAATCACATCCCTTTGTCTCCAAAGCCCCATTTCCCTTAATCCAGTCCTGGAAGGCGTGCAGCTGGGCACTCAGTGGGGCTAGAAGCAGAGGCAGCATCCAGAGTTTCCTTTCCCAGGTGGAGCTGGGTCTGGTGCAGCATCGGGCTAGTTGCATCCATCATCCCGGTGTGGGGTGCACATGGCTGCGAGTCATGTGGGTAAAGGCAGGAGAGCACCCCCGCAACAAGTGCCCAGAGCGCAGAAGCACAAGAGAACAAGCTCCTTTGTTTAGGTGTCAGACATTCCAAATCTCCCAGCGCTGGGCGTGGACACGCCTCCTCTGGCCAATGACCTGTTCCCATTTGTGACTGACAGACAAGTACCTTCTTGAAGTCACCCCAACTTTATTGGGCAGGAGTCTGTTCTTCTCTCTGTCCAGTCCCTTCCCCCAGGGATCTGCAGGAAATAGACCAGTGGCTCCCTGGGGAGTGTAAGGCATTAGCTTCCTGGCGAAGCTGCCACAAATGAATGCCTATAACATCTGGCCTTCCCTTCGCTCCTTTCCGGTTGTTCATAACTGGGTTAATTACAACGGTATTAGAATGATATATCATTTTGTGGTTTTGTTTTTTGTGGTGATTTTGTTGGTTTGTTTTTAGAAAGAGAAATGAAGGGAGAGAGAGAGAGAGAGAAAGAGAAGCATCCATCAGTCACCTGCAGCACACACCCTGACAGGGGACTGAGCCTTCAACCTGGGCATATGCCCTGACCGGGAATCGAACCAGTGACCCTTTCCTGTGCACAGGAAAACATTCAACCAATTGAGCCACACAGGCCAGGGCTATGATACATCATTTTAATCAAGTTAGTGACCATTTTATCCTTTTATATTTTATTCTTTCATTTAAAAATAGATGATAAATTATATCAAGCTTCTGAAAACACCCATGGAAGCTATTTTTAAAATTTTAGTTGTTATAATGGTTAAATAATGTATTGAATTTTCTAACCTTGAACCACCTTATATTCCTAGAGACAATTTCAATTGGTCTCCAAATCCATCTTCCTCTGTGTAGTGTCTCTTCTCTATCCATTCACCACAAAGTTTCCAGGACAAATTCTTCAAACACAACTTTGACTAGGCCAGCACCTTCCCTGAAGCCCACAGTGGTTACTGTCTGCCATAGAATGTCATCTACTTTCCTCAGTAGTACATCCATGTCCTCCTTCCACATGTGCTAGCTCATCGGTGCTGCTACATCTCCCAAACCGTACACATAGGTCCAATCTGACTCCCTTCTGGCCTGAAAAATGCATGTTCCTTTCTGCCTTCTTTTCCATCTACATTTTCATTTGTTGAGAATGTAGTCATCCTGAAAATGTCAATATCCACCTCTTCCATGAAGCGTTCTCCAGTGTGGATATGGGTGTGTTTTTTTAGCAGGGACCATAAAACATAGAGGCCTTTCCTGTAGCACATCCATCAGAAAGCCTTGTAACAGAGACAAGAGTCATCACCTCTTTGCGATCCAATCAAGATTATAGTCTTTGTAAAGAGAGAAACTTTTATTACATATTTTTATCTCTTTTGTCAACTAGCACAATCCCTAGTAGGGTGGAATTGAATTTTTAAAACCACTGTCAACAACAGCTTCTGAAAATGATGCAGTAAACATCTTACCTGCTCATAGACTATACACACAACCCTTAAAGGAAAAATACTCTATCAATCAATATCTTACCCTAAAACATATTGGTATTAACATCATCAAAATCAGGCTCTTCAGAAATGAAAGGCAATGGCAGAAAACCTTAAGACTGTAGAGGTGATTGCGATTTGTTTTCACCAGATATGGCAAATAACATGAGGAGTTGCCATATGAGGATATTTTGACCTGGGAGGAAATATGGACTTACTGTGGTTTCTTGAGAAGAAGTATGATATAAGGAAAGCAATGTTTCAGAAACACCCTTCTGGACAATGGATACAAAACAAACCCAAAGGGGAAAGTGAGTGGTCACTTAGAAGTGTGGCCCAGCAACGCCACGTGAGGAGGAGCAGAAGAAGATGTACGGCAGCAGAAACACAGACAGAAAGGTCACGTTGAAACAAAAGAAGGTTTAAATGTGAAAGTACAACATGAGTCCACTTAGGTGAGCAACAAAGAAAAGAAGAAATCAAGTATTTTAGAAATCAGTTCTATCACGTAACGTTTAACAGTACAGTTAGTTCTCACTAAGCATCAGGGATAGGTCCTGCGACTCTAAGTGAGATGACATGTGATAAAATCAAGTTTACCGTAGGCTAGTTGATGTAAACAAGAGTTAAGTTCCTACAGCATCTCAACAACATTCAGGAAATGACATCGACCAAAATGACCTTATGGACCTGCCATATAAGATGTATCTGACGTCACCTCCAGCAAAACTGGCTGAGGCTCCCAAAGCCCTCTGCGTGCCTCCATTTAGCAAGCTGGGGGAAGTCTGCTTTTCTCATTCAGCTAACCCGGAGCCACTCGAGGTCAAGGACCATGGCGTATGCATCTTTATAACTAGTCCCTAGCACAGTGCAAGGCATACAGTAGGCCAAAGAAAAACATGTGGAACTGAACTGATGATCATTTGTTAAAAGTAAAAGGAAGTACTTGCACTTGCAATCGAAAGAGTGCACTTGTGGGGTAGCAAATACAGAGATGTGTGAGTAGGGAGTCTTCCACAGGGAGTAGTATTACTTCTTTCTCAGAACGTTTGCAGCTACAGCGTAACCTCGTTAAGGGCAGAGTTCGACATTAGTTTGAATGTTCCACAGCATCGATCACAGTCATGAACATGCAGGGGATGTTCAATTAGAATAATTTTTAAATTTTTTAAAAGAACAGACAATAATAAGTTAGTCTCTTTCATTAGTCATGTGTTATCATAAAATATGTAAGTATTAAGATAAAGTCCAATGTCCTCAAAACCATTTGAAATTTTCCCCACTCGTAAATGTTCTATATAGAGAAAACTACTCCAAGAGGTGACATGGTTGAACTCTTACTCTTAGAAATGAGAAAAATATTTTTCTAGAGAAAAATAAATTAAGGTTTTCCTTGAATCTGGTGTAAAAGGAAGAAGAGTTAGGCTGCAGCTTATCCTAGTTAAGTGAAAAAAGTCTCCCTGAAAATATAAGGCTAAAAATACAATTTGATTATGAAAATGTGTCTTTTCCTCAGTGATTCGTTGCTTCAGTTTTAGTGGTTACTTTCAGTCATCACGATTTCTATTCACACTCTTTCGGTTAATCTTATCAGTTCTCCTAAAATAGATTCATTTATGAACGAGTCATATTTTGTATGACAAGTTGCGATCTACTCATCCAGCCCAGGGGTCAGCAACCTTCTTCTGTTCAGGGTCAGAGAAGTCGTTAGTTCCGGCTGTGCAGGCCACATGCTCTGTCGTAACTTCTTGGTTCTGCCGTGGCCGCGGGAAGCATCCATGATAACACAGTAGCAAATGAGCATGGCTGTGTTAAAAACACACACACAACAAAAAAACAGGCCGTGAGCCAGAGCTAGCCCATGGCTATAATTTGCCAACCGGTACTTTACTCCACTATTCTTACTTTTATTATGAAATTTTTCAAATATAAAAACCATATACTGTCACTTAGATTTTACAGTTGTTAATATTTGGTCATATTATTGCTGGATTATCATACAGAAAATGTTGCCTCTGCATAATTAAGCATGTATCTTTAAAATAAAGACATATTACTACATAACCTAATGAAATTGATAGTAACTCCTTAACAGCCCATACTTAAATTTCTTTAAATATCCCTAAAATTATTCCTATAGCTTTTCTGTTCAGATCAGAAATCCAATAAAGGATGAGACATTGCATTTGATTATTGTATATTGAAAGGGAAGTCTCTGTAATCTAAAGCAGCAGCCTCCAACGCCAGCCATGTCTAAGTGATTCGCTGAGGAACAGTCTAATTTTAAACAGTGTGAACGAGATCTGGAACCAATACAAGCCCTGGGAACATTAATATAGCGGCAAGTACCAAAATGTCTCTTTATAACATATTTACCTCAATTTCTTCTCTACTTTCAGGATTTATTATTGTTTCACTTATTTTTACACAATTTGAGAGCTGATCAGTATAGACTAGACACACATATAAAATCAGAGGTTCACATATAACATAAAAGCATATTCCGTGGAAATGTATGAGTCCGTGCTATGGGTGCTGTGTAGATGGAGGGAGATAGAACAGTCAATTTAATGAGGCTTAGAAAATTCTAGACCATTACAACCCATCACCTTGAGTGAAATATGCTGACTATTTCATCTTCCATGAAGACATGACAACAACTCAAACTGTGAGCAAACGTAGAAATGTAGACGCTTGAGATGTCCTTCTAGAATTTGCAGCGCCTTATGAGAGAGAGAAAAGTCCCTTCCCAGGAAAATCTTGATGCCTGTGAGGAAAATCCGTCTGTTTACCAGGGAAGTTCCAAACAGAAAAATACCCCCAAATTTCATAAAATTTCCATGAAGTGAGAACTGGCTGGAGGCTCACTGCATGAACAGTGTTCAGAGTAGAAACAGGGCACGGAGAGGAGACCAGATGGAAAGAGCAAACGTGAGTAGCACAGGGATGTGCAGTGTGTGTGAGCTTGCAGCTAAGGAGGCTGGGAAATGTGAACACGGAAATGAGAGGGCTCCGTGTTGCCTGTGTTCTAAAGAATCTCAACTCGTTAGCATTCGAGAATGGGATCAATAAGGAGTCGGGAGAAAGGACTGGACCAACTGAGGTAATAGGAACCCACAGAAAAGGGAACCCCGAGGTGCTGATTGGAAACTGGGGCAGAGCTAGAGTGCCCTCAGTTAGAAAAGAAGTTGAATGTATGAAGAACAGAAGGAGCTGAGGCAAAGAATCAGATAGAAGACAAAGAACTGTGCCATATAGTAACCACTGCCCACAAGTGGTTATTTAAATTAAATTAACTAAAATTAAATAAAGTTAAAAATTCAGTTTCTCAGTCATCGCACATTTCAAATGCTCAATAGCCATATGTGGTTAGTGGCTACCAGACTGGGTAGCAGAGATAGAGAACATGTCCCCATTTCAGAAAGTTCTATTGGATGGTGATGTGCCAAGGACATTAAAATGAGCAGGAAAGAGAAAGCAGCAGAGGAAGGGGTGAAGGAGGAGGGGTTCATAATCTCCCTTTCCCATCTGTGCTCAATATCACGTGACGGTCCGGACAGCCGCTGCTCTGCGACCTTGGGGTTCCGCCAAGGGCTGCAGGGGCTGCGGCTTGGGGTTGTTGGAGCCGGGCATTGAGTGAGGGCTGGAGCCAAGGCTGGTCCTGGGTGAAGAAGGCCTGTGCACACCCGAGAGCCATGCCCAGAATTCAAGGTCTAGAAAGCATTCACTTGCCACTGAAAAGATGCGAGAGGAAGTTCGTGCATCTCTGCTGTCCGTTCATGGTCACACAATCCTCCTGCTAATATACTGCTCAGACACGTCACAGATGGACTCTCGCTTTCTGTCTTGTACTTTTTAATTTTTTTTTTATATTTTGACACTCACTTTCTGTCTTCCTCGACTAATAAGAAATCTGGCCTATTTCCTTTTATTTTATTATTTATTTCAACTAATTCTTATTATAAGCATTCATATTCACGGTAAGTAAGCATGGGCCGCCCATCTCCTTCCCTCTACGCTCCACGATGGATGGCATGACATTTCAAACCTCTGCTGTCACCTTTGTCACACATCGGCAGTGAAATGACAGTGCTCAGTAGAAGCTCTGACTAGCCTTCCTTTCGAGGCCATTGCTAGCATCCTTTTGATCAGAACCAACATTATCCCATCCAATCGGTCCCTTGTCCCAGACTCCCCTTCAACTCGCATAGCCTCCCTGCCCCTCACAATGCGCACCCTGGACATGCATGGCGAGGCGCAGCGCATCTCCCAGGAACAGTCAGGCGCTGCCTTGAGAGTCACAATTTATCTCCACGAACCGCAGGCTGCTGGGTTCCCATTGCCTGTGTGGGCAGCTGCTCTGCAGTGCGCTCCCCATGTGCTAATTGGCTCGCTCCCCGTCCTTGGCTCTGAGCTTGGGAACCGCACTGACTTTTCACCCACCGCACCTGACGAGCAGCTTTCTGAGCTCCCACTGGTATGCCAGGCACTGCTCCTCACTTAAAAATTACCCGCAGGACTTTAGTTAGAGGTTTTTATTGCTTTCTTTTCCTCTGACCATGATATCATACTATTTCCTACCCCACCTGAAAAAGGCAAAACTTCAGAGAGAAAAACGTGCTGGGGAGAGAAGATAATCCTTTACAGAGAAGAGCAGAGGCTGCCCTGGACTGAGGCTGGCCACCTAAAGGCAGAGGACCTCGGAATTGTAAGTATCAGAGTTCTGCTTGTGTGAACTAATGCTTTAAAAAATCCTCACTCTTCACATTAGCAAACTGTTTGCCCCTTGGAGGACTTTGAAAATGACTGAATGTTCCCTCGCATCCACTGAAATGGAAAGTCTATGGTTTTCTACTGTGCCTGCGCGTCTGGCTATGAGCATGGGCCACACGGTCCCCTTTGAATACTATGGGCTTGCATCCAGACCACACTTGCCTTTTTAATATGGGAGGGAGCTCACCAACTTGTGAGCAGAGCAGAGCGGGGGAAGCCCCTGTCAATGCCATAATTCTCCATATTTCTGACTCTGTTAAATGCCTGCCACTGAAACCAGTCAGTAAAGGAGCGAACCGTCCCTGTCCTCCCGCGAGCTGCCTCACAGCTGGGAGGAGGGTGTGTCCCTGAGCTTTTACCTGGGAGCAATGATGATCTTGTCAAGCATTTTAGTGAGACCAGCCCAAGTTTTAGGGTGGGGATCTAGACTGGTTATACGTACCTTCGGTCCTTCTCCCAGCAAAGGCAGAAACACCTCAAAGCCTGCATGTAGGAACACCTACTGAGAAGTTATTTCCATCAGACACCGGCCGAGTGGGGGAAAGCAAACGAAGAGAGAACCACCACCACACTCCCCTGCCTGGATGTAAGAGAGCCGGGCAGGATGGGCTGGCACGTCAGGACCGCTGCGGCGCTGGTCACCCTTCTGGTGAGTGGCTTCTGCCAAAAACCCCTGGTGATGGTCCGCGTTGCAAACCAGGGTGAACTTTTCAGAAAGTGCTATTCGGTGTTATTTCTAACCTAGACCCGTCAAAAGTTTGTTAATGACCAGGTGATTTTATGGACTAGATTTTTAAATAGTGCTTCTCTCTTTAATTGAAGACTGGAGATCACAGTAAGGCATCAGTGTCCACTCATCACATGTCATCTCTGACATGGAAGTCATTGCCAAGTCATTCTGAGAAAACATGGAATTTGGGGAAGTCACCTGGCTATTTCATAGCACTTTGTTGTTCAAATTCTCTCTCACAGCTGGGCTGTCAAAGTCATAGCACAGGTGTGTCCTGATTTTTAACGTAAACATTTTTTTCATTCTTTTGGTATCTTTGCTGGTAGATTCACTATAAATTTTAAAACATAGAAATGGGATCCATATACATTAAAATCATAGCTGTCTGTGACTGGCCTCACTATCTAATTAACCTCATCGGCTTTATATGTACCTGGGATCCATATCTCTAATATTGAGACCCCACTCTGAATTTATTTAAAACAATCTTTTTACTTTAAAAAAGAACATTATGGGAGATTTAGAAATGACAGAGTAGGGGAAGGAAGGGCTATAATTAAGAAATAAGTATAATTATCACAATACTCGTTCTTACTAATCACTAATGACTATGATATACAAGCTGTACATTGATGATCAGACAAATGTAATGAAATGTTTTATCACTGTGCTCTTTACACGTTATTAGTTTTCTCTTGTTAAAGACAACCCTAAGTACAGTGCCAATGTGTTGCCTCGATTTCACTGATGTGAACATTTTTGAATCGCAGTCTCTCTAACAGTAAAAGGTTAATGTAACTCACAGAGGCAAGTGCCGCTTAAATCGCAATCCAATTTGGCAGGATGTGTGTGGTACTGTGGTTCACATTTGTTTCTACTTGCTTAATTTTAAAACTGGATTGTTGGGTTTCATAATAACAAGTTAGATCTCTGATTCAAAGTATGCTGCTTACTTTTAGTTCAGTTTATTAAGATATGTCACAACCAGTGGATTTTGTTGTAAATGAGCATCAATAAGCTGCTCATTTAGTACAAGTTGCCCTTTTCTTTCTATGATTTTATGTCAAGTTGCCCTTTAAGCATGAGCTCTTCCATGGATGTTTTCATGGATCTCTAGGTCCAGGTGATGTCATAACCTGGGATGTGGCAGGGACTAATGAGCGTTATGAGGTACATCATTTGAACATAGGAGCATTTGTACATTGTGAAATGATATAATACTTTATTTTTCCTTTATATCAATTTGATCTATTAAGTCCTATGATAGTTACAGTTGGTTCAAGGTTTATTCATGGAATAACTTTCATTGAATCTGTAAGACACGTTATTTCATTATTTTATGATTATTTTTAATTAATTACATCCTATAAAATTTCTATAAACAGTCCCTTTCCAATTAGTCATTCTTCAGTATAATGTATCATTTTATCCAAACGTATCCTTATTAAACTTTCATTCTTTATAGAGGTTTCTGGACATTTGTATTTTATTTTTTGAGTCTTGATAGGTTTCTTTTGTGCGGATTATTTGTTTATTTGTTTGGTTTTTGCCATATTTTATTTGGAATCAATCAAGTTTCTCATATGCCTTAAGAAAATTATTTTTCAAAGAACTTACTGAATTAAATGTTTCACTTTTACATTATTATAACATTTTTATAAAACGTGTCACTTTCTAAGGTTTGTAAAAATTGCAATTCCTTTTTGCTACTGGTTTTACCAGGTAATTTAGATAAATGTCCTTTGGAGTTATGCAGTCTGTTTGCTTTGAAATACTCTTCTTCTGAAGATTAACCACCACCATAGCCAACTCTTCCCCTTAGCTTTCTGCTAGCCTCACTGTGAATCTTTAAGTTCCCCAAAAAAATAGAAAGGAAGGAAGGAAGGAAGGAAGGAAGGAAGGAAGGAAGGAAGGAAGGAAGGAAGGGAGGGAAGGAGGGA